GCAAATAGAAAGAACTCAGAAAATACCACGTGGTTTTATTGATAGTATTTATAGAAGCAATATTCAGATGACATTTGAAAGACTCTGGAGGAACTGGAGAAAATTTGAGTGCCTCATTACAACTCACCCAGTAGCACATATCTTCTGTGTTATCAGTATGATTGGGGCAGTATTGTCACACTGTCTTATGGCATATTTTATGCCTACACACATGCACACATGTGCTTTGTAAGCTGTTGTGCTACTCAGTCATCAGTCACAAGGCAATAGCTATGGCACTGCCTCTCATCTTTGCAAAAAAAAAGTATTTTATAAGTAGGGCTAAATCATCATGTAAATAGCATTTCTTTAGTTCTTAGAACTTGTACTGGTAGATTGAGCAGTAAGAAATTAGATTTATTGAGAGCCGTTCATAATATTTACAACACAGAATGGCAACCATCTTCCCTTCAGAAAGAAGCCAGATGATCACAGGAACACAGAATGGCCTAGAAACTTCACCACAGAGCAACATGCATGTGTTTCTGGAATGCTTGTATTATACTGTGGCTAGTATGCCTACTGGCTTTTATATTTTCTTTTGATTTTGCCTTTTTATGACATTGATCCATGTTTCTCCACTCTTACGAATATTATGAGTTAAATGAGAAAGAATGACACACACCAAGCTTCCTCTTTAGCATGCCATGTCTCTGACCTTGAGCTTCTTGTTACAGTCCACAACCACTCTGCCATTTCTTCTCAGGCATTCTTATACCTAACATTGGCTTCTTCTTCAAGATAGTAGCACGCTGATCCATTCGACTTAGAATCACAGAAATTAAGTCAACATCTTCATTATTTGGCTGATAATTAAAGCAGAATGGGAACAGTTATAATGTTTTTGTTTTGTTTGTTTGTTTACTATTTTATTCTATTGGACATAGAATCTTAATAGCTAAAAACTTTTTCAAAAAGATAAGGTTTAGAGTATGGAAAAGGTTACATGGCCTACTTTTTAGCAAAATTTTGTTTGCTAAAAACATCTGTCTTGTAAAAATTATTTTGATAGGTGGTATGCTTTTTAACGTTTTACTTTTAGTGAGTGTACCTTGAAAACAACTGTTCTAAAGCAATATCTCAAGGTTATAGCAAACATAGTCTAAAAGAGCACTAAATTATCCTGCTGTTTTTTGAACAATTTTCTAAATCAGTATTAAGAATAATTATCTTAAGTCCTTCAAAACACACTAATACACACATTTTTTTTTTAACAATTAAAGAAATGGAACTAGAGAGATGGCTCAGTGGTAAATAGTATTGGCTGCTCTTGCAGAGGATCCAGGTTTGATTCCCAGAACCCACATAGCAGTTCACAACATCTGTAACTTCAGTTCCAGGGGATCTGATGCCCTCTTTTGGTCTCTAAGGACACTGCATGCATGTGGTACACAAACGTAATCAGACGGAACAATCAGACACATACTTAAAATGCAGAAAAAGAATGTAATAAATAAGGAAACTGTCAGTGATCTGTATAAGTGTAAACTCAGCAATAGCTTACTTAGATTTTACACTAAAAGCACAAATAAATAAAGATACATTGAGTGATAGTTACCAGAAATCGGACTTGTGTTTGCTGGAGGTCATCCATTACCAAAATGTAAGAAGACAATGGAGTTAGAACAAACACTTTTAACTAATGTGCGATGGTGACTTAATAATACCAGATCTGAAGCATCTGTAACTCAAAGGTGAAAAGTTGAATGGTTACAATTTAACAAGGCAAAGGCTTTGATAGAGTTATTTTTCCCCCCAGAGAAGACATGGAAATTATTGGCGAGGAAATAAAAAAATGTGGTCAGCATCATTAATCCTTGTGGAAGCATAGGTCAGGGTGTGCTGAGGTACAGCTACATATCGACTGCAGTTGTGTGAATGCTCCCACACATACCAGTAGGGACTCAGGAACCTAAAAGGATCTCTCACTGTGGAGAGGCGTTGAGCAACTCCTCAGAATTTAAACATAGACTAACTGTAAGACCAGAATTTTCACCTTTATGTACATCCTTAAGAGAATGTAAGGCAAATGTTCACAACGGCTCAAAGTGGAAGAACCCAAATGTCTATGTCCCGATGAATACATACGATGTGCCCTATGCAGACAATGGAATATCATCGGGTTCTTAAAGAGGAGTAAAGTGCTGACACGTGCTATCTGTGGATCAACCTAGAAATAACCATCTGAAAGGAGCCAGAAAGAAGGGGGTATTTTATATGGTTCCATTAAAATAAAATGTCAGGAAACTTCAAAGAGAAAAGTATGGGTATGAGGCATGAGAAACAGAACCAACACTAACTGCTAATGGACATAAGGATGTTTGCACTCAGTATTTTATATGGTATTTAAGGTTAATGGGGTTGGAATGGTAACTGTGTCTATTGAAAACCTTGGTCAAAACAAACTGACTATTAAATAAAACAGACCGACTTAATCATCAAGGAAACTTGATTCTTTGAATTTCTTTATGAAGTGAAGCCTCTTAGATCTGCTTCCTTTATGAAGTAGGATAGAAAATTGTGAGCTACTGTGGTGAATGTTTTTTTTTTCTTCTCTTTAACATGAGTAAGCAGCAGGTTGGGGGCATTGGACAGACTACCAGGTAATTGGCAATTTTCTCTGTTGTGTCTGGAGCCAGTCTTTCGTTACAGTACAGCACCCACCACATCTCTGCATTTTGCCAATCCACTGCTCTCTTCCTAGGAATGAGACCTATTAGTCAGCTGTACCAGGAGCCCTTCCTTCCTGCTGTCTCTTCTTAACCTATTAAGTTTTGTAATCTACAGTAATTTCCACATAATAGACTTCTTTTCTGTGATTCACGCTTCAACATGTGCCCAGAAAAGATGCTGAGTTAAATGCTAACATGCTTCACCTTTCTCTCTCTTCTCTCTCTCTCTCACTTGAAGCCTGTCCATCTACAAACTATAAGCCAGTAATTTCATCAAGTTACTGTTTGAAGTTTATAGTTCTTCCCAGTCCCGTGTGTGTGTGTGTGTGTGTGTGTGTGTGTGTGTGCGCGCGCGTGCATATATGTGGTCTATGTGTGCTCAAAGGATAGAACTAATTCTCTATTATGTTTCATCTTATTTTTTGAGATAGAGTCCATCACTGCTCTTGGAACTCATCTATTGGCTAGACTGTGTTACCAGTAAACCCAGCGGGTTTCCCTTCTCTTCCTCCCCCTTATTGAGATTGTAACTGTTTGCCACCTCACCCAGCTTTTATGTGAGTACTGTAAATCCAAACTCGGGTCCTGCTGATTACGCAGCAGGCACTTTACCCAAAATCATTTCATTGGCTCCTTGTTTGATGGTTTGTGCTGTGCCAGGACAGCATCGCAGTGGGGTATCTGTCCATCTTCAGTGACTGGAAGGTTACTGCTGCATGTTGCAGGATCTCCCTGTGAACTCATGCTACCCTTACATTTCCTGAGTCCTCAGTGATCGATACCTAGTCGTTCAGGCCAGATCGAATCACAGAGAAATTTTGTTTGTTTCAAAACAGAGACAAGCACAGCTGTAGCAAAATTGTTCTAGCATGGTTGAACTTGAATTCAGAGCAACGGAGAATTCATATTCCAAAACTCTGAAATAAAGGATTCATTCACTCATCATTCTTTGTGGAAGATGCAATGCAGATACTACAAATACTTTGTTGGGAAAATATTGAAACAGGCCAATATAGTTCAGCCTTGATAGAATAGAAAAATATTGTCTTCTTAAATATATGGGTTTAAAAATAACATTCATCAACATTTTTAAAATGTTAGAATATGTAATAGTTTTTCTCTGGCTTTTCTGTGGTCATCAATGAAGAGGGCATGTCTGCCAAAAGTAGACTAGATGTAGTGGTTACCAGAGGAGGAATTTCTATGAGTTGGTATTTTATAAATACATATGCTAATTCTAGTTTTGTCTTATGTGGTGGGAAGTTTGTGATGTGTGGTATGATGCGTGCACATGTAGTTGAAGAAGGAGAAGTGGCATATTTTCGCTACTGCTCTTTATCTTATGGCTGTGAGAACAGGGTCTCTCAGTGACCTTAAGTCACCTTTTCAACTAGGCTCACTGGCCAGTGAGCACGTGAGATCCACTTGTCTTGGCGCCTTGCACTGCTTTACAGGTCCACACAGGCAGGCCTGGTTTTCAAGGCTTTTTTGTGACAGCTGACCCACAGAGAGAGTCCCAAGAAAGTTAAAAGCAGCCAGCCAGCCTATGCCATTAGCCCAAGAGTCACATGGCATCACTTTATTCTACTGAGCACAGGAAGCCATAGAACAGGCCACTAAGAAAGGAAAAGTGGAAGTGTCAAAGCAAGGCTGCAAAAGAGCTCTGCCATTTCCATTTCCGGAAAGAACTGCCTTAAAGAAAGAACAAGTTAGCAAGACTGAGGGAGGGCCCCTGTGTCACAAACAGAGGTCTCTGAAACAGGTCACTATGAGGAAAGAAGGTAGAAGGCAGACTGCTGAGCTCACTAGATCCACATGAAAACACGTTTGCAAGGCTGCTACTGCTGTGGGTGTTCTACGGTCCGTGCCACATCCTGGAAAGGAACAGCAGTTAAGTGACTGTTTAGAGCTGAATCGGGGAGCAGGGATGTCAGAAGTCGCATCTGGCTGTGCACTTCACTTGAAAGGCTTGAGTTTTTAATAAATAATTTGAAATGTTGGATTAATTAATTAATAATACCGTTACATTTGTTTCAAATTTTGTTTCGTTACAGTTCTAAGAATTTCAAATCTCATCACTCAGGAGCTTTCAAAGTCCTTTAGGCCTATCATCTGTCTTGCTAAGTGTGCTGCAATTATACTTAAGCTACTTTATCCTCTACTTTATGGTCTAGCTTTATATAAGTCATATGCATAATTTTTAAATAGAGTTGCATTATTTTAAAATAATTAGACACCCCTAAGAAAAACCATCAGGAACAGTAATTCCAGAGGTATCTGTCTTTTCAGATTGTTGTGCCATGCTATGAAGGACCACATAGTCCGTGTTGCAAATGAAGCTGAGTTCATCTTGAACAGACAGAGAGCAGAGGATGTACATAAGCATGCAGAGTTTGAGGTAAGGTGGTAAGGTCAAACATCACCCATTTGCTACCTGATGTAAGACGTACTTAAGAAGAAAATACCACTGAAGGCATTTTAGGCCCTGCTTTCAAAGATCGTCCCAGTGTTAGACAAAATGCTGATTCATTTATACCTCGTCACTCTGTCATGTTCCTCACCATTGTAGGTACGTGGGGGAGGGGGGTGACGTTTTTTTTTCAGTTGCCGTAAAGACAGTAAGACCCTTGGGATGCTATTGTTTTGAAGCTATTAGAGCTTTACATTAAAAGCAGGTGCACGTGGATGATTGGTGTGGTTTGATGCTCTTACTTATTGTTCAGTGGCTCTCGAAATTTCACTATTTTAATTAATTTTTTAATTCAGTCAACTTGTAAGTGTATTTCAGAAATCCATACATGGTCTAATATTTGACTCACATAAGCTTCTAGTGGCCTTAGAGGTGATAACTGCAACATTTCATGTTTCCTGGTGCCTCGTGCCAATAAGTGCATCTAGAGAAGCGATCCTGCCACCACAGCTTCAATGCAGTATTTGTCTCCACAGAGTAGCTCACTAAATCATGCACATTGGTGGACTAGGTCTGGTGATCTCTGACCTCAACATCTGAAAAGCATGGGACAGAAAAATAGCAGTTGTTTTTATATACACAGCCACCATTTGATTGGTCAGGTGGACAGCAGGTAACTGATGTACGGCATGTGGATACTCAATTTTTTAAAAACCTCTTAAAACACTAATAAAAGTACAAACACACATACACACAGAGGTAGTTTAACAAAGTTAAGTTAATATCACTTCAGCAATAAAAATGTATGTTTATCAGGGTATTCTACAGTATTTTGGTTGGCTAGAAAAACTGAATTATCTCCTTTTTGAAGAATATGTTTATATATAAGATATCAAAACTCAAAAAATTAATCACATGTCAACAGTGGTAATCAATAAGATTTATAATTTTAACTGAATTCCCTGAAGAATCAATTTTGAGGCAATCATATTTCTACTAAAAAAAATCAGGATGTTTAGTGAGGATATAAGCAGACCAATATTTGTCTTATGAAACATTTCAAATATATTTTCTGACATGCAGATATTAGTTCTAACCTTTTAGCACGCATTTAAACAAAGGGCATTAAGACACGGGCGGGGTTCCTTTCTCATCTGTCTGTTACTGTTCACATGAGGAATTTTTAGGCATTGTTGTGTAATTGCTCTGCTGACCACAATGAATGTCCAATACTCCCAACATTCTGTTTGTATCCTGTGTGCATCTCTGGCTTCCCTAGAAGAGAAGTAAGATTTGCTCAGACTCACCCCAAGTCTTGCATTTCCTGAGACAGCAGTGAGTTTAGTTCTCCTGTGGGTGTGCAGAGGTGGCACTGGGTGCTTCCAAAGACAGTGAACATGAAGGCTGGATGTTTTTAGGACTCAATGCACAAGGTATACTGCCAGTATAAGTCTAATTTTGAGATAATAACCACTGTTGCTAATAGATACCCACTGGCTTTTCAACTCTAATGTTTATATTTATTTTAAGTTAGAATGATGCTAATAAATTTATTGGTATGTGTATATCTATGTATTTATGTACATGTGTGTATGTGTTTCTGTGTGTCTGTCTCTATGGGTGTATGCATATTTGTGTGGAAGGTGTTTGTGTGTATGTGTGTGTGTGTATGTACCAGATACATCAGTTTTAAACTGCAAAAAAAAAAAAAATGCAGAAGGTATGGCATTTGACTAGACTTGAAAATTCTATGTAACCCTCAGAGAAACCTGCAGTTAAGGGAGAAACGTATTTGAGTGGGTACTGCCACAGTTAAGGCTTTATTTTTCTTACTTAATACTGTAATTGTTAAGGAAGAAAAATGAAAATTTAATTTTACCCTCCAATGAGCTAATGAAATATTAACCTCATTATTGCAGCAGATCTTTGTACTAATTGGTGATTGCCTGTACAAAAAGATAAATTGGACAATGAATTAATCCGTCTTAGATTATTATGGGTTCTCTCTTCAGAAGAAAAGGCTTGCATAGAGTGTGTTTCAGCAGACAGGACTGTGTCCTGATTTGTCCTGTGCAACATGGTTTTGCACAGGGATGACAACTGGAGCTGGTCACATATATTTCCTTAGATGTTTGAGAAGTAACACTAAAATCACAGCCTGAGCTGGTCTGCATAGTAGCCAGTCTAAAGTTCTGTTTTCAGCTCTGTATCAAAAATTTTCATAACAGGGTCTGTTGATCATCTGTGATGCTAATGTCAGAAAACAGAAATAAAATACAGACATGACAACTGATGGCTGTGGAGTTGGGAAGATAAGCATAAGGCGATGATTCTTGTGAGACCTTTTGAAGCATTAAGTGTTAGAGGTAGAAAGGAACGTAGGGAAACCTTGTCTTAGCTTCTCACTTTACAGATACGAAGTTGAGTGCAAAAGGAAAACAGAGTTTGCTTAAAATGTGAAATAAAATCCCAGTCTGCTAAATGTTTAAGTGATTTTTTTCTTTCATATTACATTGTCTTTCAGAAAACAAAACATTATGTGGCAATGACAAGATTTTTGTTTTCAAATTAATTATTGAAATTATATATCTTTAAGTTGATTTGTGCTAAATTGTTTTTTAAAAGTAGACTTTTAGTGAGCTATTGCTGCATAATGATTAAATCTGACACTGAAATCAGATTTTTTCTTTTTTAAATTTTTTTATTAATTACACTTTATTCACTTTGTATCCCCCCTGTAGCTCCCTCCCGCCTCCCCTCCCAATTCCTCCCTTTCTCCCTGTTCTCCACACATGCTCCTCTCCAAGTTCACTGATAGGGGAGGTCTTCCTCTCCTTCCTTCTGATCCTAGTCTATCAGGTCTCATCAGGAGTGGCTGCACTGTCTTCTTCTGTGGCCTGGTAAGGTTGCTCCCCCCTCAGGGGGAGGTGATCAAAGAGCAGGCCAGTCAGTTCATGTCAGAGAAGAGTCCCTGTCCCCATTACTATGGAACCCACTTGGACACTGAACTGCCATGAGCTACATCTGTGCAGAGGTTCTAGGTTATCTTCCATGCATGATAGTGGACCAAAGTAAAAAAGTCATGACGTTAACACTTTTCAAAATATTTTATTTTTACTCTTTTACCTTAAAAAAAATCACATTTTTTTTCCAATTTGAAAGGTGATTCCTAGAACAGAGTGTTAGATATGTCAAGTGAAGGTGTTTAATTCAGTTGTGCTTACCCTTTATCTTGAGGGTAGGCATCACATTTTTATTCTTCATAGTAAGGGTGTTCTTAATGCTTGCATCCTTCACAGTCACAGTGCGCACAATATGCTGCCGACAGGAGGGAGGAGGAGAAGATGTGTGACCACCTCATCAGTGCTGCCAAGCACCGTGACCACGTAACAGCCAACCAGCTCAAGCAGAAGATTCTCAACATCCTCACGAACAAGCATGGTGCCTGGGGGGCCGTGTCACACAGGTGTGTGAGGATGGGTGTGGAGGGAGAGAGTGGCACACCACAACTGAAAAGAAAACACATTTTCACACTGACCACATACTTATAATTTAAACATAATTCAAAATATGAAGATGGGCTTTAATTTATTAGTTCTAATCTTCATTTTGATAGTTTTGATGGAAACTTAATGTTTTAAATTTTTCTCTAATGCTGATAATTTCTACTTCAGAGTAATATGTGGTGATATAACATTTACTTATGCAGGAGTGCTTAAGATATGCCTCTCTTTTTAAAGGACTTCCTTAAAATTAAATTTATGTCATTTTTACTTTCATATGGTAATGACATATAATCACTTACTATAGAGATATAAATATAAATTTTCTGCTTTCTGAAGCTTATAGCTAGATAAGGTGGTTTGGTTTTGTCTGTACACAATGTTCTCAAAACAACTACTAAAAAAGGTTACTGTGTTTAAACTGATGATGTCATCTTAACATATCTCTCTTTTATTGAGCCTATCGCATGTGGTGATTTATGGTATGTAGATAGGATGCTACTGTGAAGCATTCTGGGAGAAATGATTGTGCTAGAAGATGCTTGACAGTCTGTCCTGGGCTTACAAGAACAAGAATGAGATGAGAAAACAGTAGTGTTTCGGTATTTAAGGTAATGCTATAGCATAACATCTTAGAAAATGAACGCCAAGTACTTGACATCTATAATAACCTCATTGCAGCCATTATGTTACTTTTGGGGACTGTATTATCCCCTCGTGCCCTGCATTTCCAAGGCAGTCTCCATTAATCAAGGAGCTCTACCACCTAGGTGTTACCCCGAAGGATGCTGCACTCTCAGGTGGCTCAGACTTGGCTGCATATCTTATCACCTTTCAAGAGGAGAACATACAACTGCTACTGTGTCAGGGAGGTGCACAACCTCATGCCACATGGGAAATGTGGCCATATTAGGATTGCCCAGGGTTCCACCCTCAATTATGTGCCTCATCGCCCATCCTTGGAGCCAAGCAGTCATTTCCTCCTAAAACTCATCTTTGGTTCTGTCCATCCCTATCCGGGTGGCAATTGTGTGCCTTTTTCTGGAAAGACAGCTTGCCTCTTCACCCCAGATAGGACACCAACAACAGACTGGAGAAATAGTTCTACCCAAATCTAGCTTAATGGCTGACTCTGTAAGTTAATTGGGATGTTTGCAAGAGCATAGGTGAGGTCCATGCAATGGCACTGTTTCATGAAAGATGTGTTCTTGCATCTCCCTGCACAACTTGAAACAAAGCATAAACCTGAGGCCTCCTCTTCCCAGTAACTGTTACTGTCCATTGAACTGTTGGGTCTTTTGAGTTTTTATATTTGAACAGTTGTGTGCAAGCCCAGAGGCACTTTACTTATATTTCAATAGGAATCGTGAATTCCTCATTATGTCAGGAAAATATTATAAAGTAATAGGTCTCTTGTAAATGTTATCCTGTGATGTCACTGTTGTAGCTTTCAGGATCCATGAGATGGCTCAGTGAGGAAAAGCTTTCAACTCTGAGCACTTGGATTATAATGTGGTGCAAAGAAAAATATGACTCACACAAGTTGTCCTCTGACCTCCATACACCCGCCGCAGCACATGCAAGCATACCCACATGCGCACACGCGCATGCACACACACAAATAAATAAACAAACCAACAAATAAATTCTTTACAAAGATTTGACTTTTACATATTGTCCATTGGCAATAATATTATACATATTGTAAAGTAGAATCACTTTATAAATACAAGAAAACACGGTTTTCACATTTCTCATTTTAATTCAGCAAGAAATGCAATTAACTGCACATTGTAATTTTTATGTCATCGTTGGAGACACTGAAAAGCATGTTTCTAAGTAGAGTGGCTATGATTTGATTAGAGCTCATTTTTTTTTGTCCTGCTTAGAAATGTTTGACTGTCATGAAGCTTTGTGCTTCCCTCATTACTTTGGTTCCCATGCTGCCTACTGGGCCTCCTTTCACAATGTGTATCTTCTCAGCTCATGACCTCACCTCACCGCTGCCACACTGCCTGTATTGTGATAAGGCTAACCTTGTTTTGTATGTTGTCTCCTCTCCTAGTCTCTTCAGACTCAAGTGTCTCCTCAGGCCACCTTTGCTCTGGTTGTCTTTATCAAATTAACACACTCTTTGTCTTTAATCATGCTCTGGATTTATCCCCTTTAATCTTCATGGCCCTTACAGCATACAGTTTCTTTTACCTAGATATGGACTTTCACTTTCATCTCTATAGCCAGTGCATAGTAATCTACATAGAACAGATGTTCAATATATATATATTCTTTACATGTATTTATTTACATATTTTAATCAAAATAGAATCATAGCACTTCTTCCCTTTCCTTTCTTCACAGCCACTCCCCTAGTCTCCTTCCTTTAGCTACTCCATGCCCATACTCTCAAATTGTTGGCCTCTTATTCTTTGATTATTATTATTGCATAAATATGCATGAATTTACAGATGTAACCTGCTGAGTCCACCTTTACTGTTAGTGTATATAGGGTTTTAGGGATGACCAGTTTGTATTGGATAGCCAGTTAGAAAGCTCATATCTGGGAGAGGCTAATTCTCTGTCAGCAGTCATTAGTTACCTGTAATCCTTTCTGTAGGAACTCAGGTTTTTCCCTCACCCCCATTAGCATGTATTATTCCTGTCCTGTTAATACAGCCATTTATAGCCTACTTCCTGGTATTCTGGCTCTTAAAATTTTTTTGTCCCATCTTCCGTGATGTTCTCTAAGCCATATAATCAGGAGCTGTGGTGTAGATGTATCCATTTCATCTGGAATCCTCACAGTCCATTGATCTGCATTGTGTTTAAATGTGGTTTTCTGTAATGGTCGCCATTTGCTGCAAAGAAAAGCTTTTTTGTAGAGGTGTGGTAGCTACACTTGTTTGTGGTTTTAAGGATAACTTTTAGAATATAGTAAGGAAATACACTGATCTTGCAAAGTGGCAGTAGTAGATTCTTTTCTAAGATCCTTGACCTCCTTAGCCCCAGGAAGCTGATCAGGTTTCTCGTACCAGACATGATTTCTCTCCTGTTGATTGAACATTGAGTCTAATCAGACAGCAGTTTGTTACCATAGACATATGAGTGGTATTTATCCCTTTATAAATATCTTGACATAATCATCGTTGTTATTTATTACAATCTATTTATTTTGTATCCCAGCTGTAGCCCCCTCCTTCATCTCATCCCAATCCTACCCTCCCTCCCTCTTCTCCTCCCATGCCCCTCCCCAGTCCCCTTCCATCCGACTCTAGCCTATCCGGTCTTATGAGAACTAACTGCATTGTCTTCCTCTGTTGTCTGGTAAGGCTGCTCCCCCATCAGGGGTAGGTTATCAAAGAGCCAGTCGCTGAGTTCATGTCAGAGACAACTCCTTTTCCCCTTACTAGGGCACCCACTTAGAGACTGAGCTGCTATGGCTACATCTGTGCAGGGGTTCTAGGTTATCTCCATGAATGATCCTTGGTTGGAGTATCAGTCTAGTTTTTTTTTTTTTTTTTTTGTAAAAGTTTTCCAAGAGCTGGAGCGATGGCTCAATGTTTAAGAGCACTGTGTAATCTTCCAGAGGACCCAGGTTCATTCCCAGCACCCACATGACAGCTCACAACTGTCTGTAACTCCAGTTCCAGGATATCTGACACCCTCACACAGATATACATGCAGGTAAAGCATCCATGCACATAAAATAGAAATAAATAAATCACTTTTAAAAAGTTTTCCACGTAAAACAGTATCAGCCTCCGAGCCAGAAAAGAATAAATTCAGCCTCAGCTCTTAAAAATTCTTTGACAGCTCTTTTGTTGTTGTTACTGTTGTTATTGTTAAAAGTAAAATGGCTTCAAGTTTTTCTTTTCATTTTTTCAGTATTTTAAGTATTTATCTGTTATTATTGATCATTGTAGGAGCAGCTTCCTGGCTTTTAAAAAAAAATGCTACAAAATTTTTGAGTCCCTTCACTGAGTAGTGTGCCGACTGGCCTAGCTAATATCTGCTTTAAAATTCATAGTGTATGTTCAGCTCTCTTCCGTTTTGAATTAGAGCCTACAGCAGCATCTTAGATTCAAGAGTCTTTCAGGTTCCATCTCAACTGGGTATCTTAGCTCTAGGTCTTCTCAATTCCAAGCCTCTCAGCTGTGGTCATCTCAGGCATAGGCATCTCAGCTGTGAGTATCACAGGCACAATAGTCAAGTCTTGTTAACTTGCTCAGTTAGATTTTAGAAAGATGTCAAATGAAATTTTAAAGGCTTGTATTTCTATGGGGTTGTTTCAGAAAAGCCCACCTTCGGAATTTGTGAGGATAAGCCCTCACATGTCTATTTTCTTGCTGTACTTTAGCTGATCATAAACATACATTTACATGTTTTACTCCTTATGTCTCCCAAACACTATACATGTGTAGCTGTTTTTCATAGCAATAAGGTCTAGGCATCATTGTTTCACTATCTGCAAATAAGAGCAAAATGGCAGATTAACATCTGGGTCCAGATGCTGCATCCCTGATATCAGTACTTGTAAGGCTAGAATTTGAAAGAAGGGATAAAACTTGGGATTTGTAAACACAAGTTGTCTTGAATGTATTGTTAGAAAAATTAGCAAATCTTCACATCCATTTCACTTCCTCACTTACCTTTCTTGGTTTATAGTTACCCGAATTAATATGATTTTCTATTGCTCACAGTTGTTCAATAGAAAAGTTGTTGTCTGAGAACTTGAAATGTTAGATATGTTTTTCTCCTTGGGTATGTTTATAAGAAACAAAATTCGGTTTGTCAGGGATTCATTGGCTATTATAAATCACAAGCTTTTATTTTTATCTGTCCCTTTGTTACTTTCGACTTTGGTTAAATATGCCATAGGGAAAGAATTATCCATCATTTCCATTCATCTAATGGTTTTATGGATCACCTCTACTCAGTGCTACATTAACGTCTATTATGGGCACTT